GGGAAGGGAGGCCGCAGGCCCATCTCGCGGAGGGGGGGACGACGAGGGAGAAGGGAAGGGAGGCCGCAGGCCCGACTCCCTAGAGGGGCCCAGAATATTTGGCTGAAGGCCGGGCCCTGCTGCCCGTGTGGGGGGCGGGGCGGGACGGGCTCCCCCTGCGGGGGCTGCGATATCAGGGGAGGGGGGGTCGCGCCCGGCTCTCAGGGGCGTTGCGGGGAGCTCGGCCCGGGCTCCAAGCCCCCGCAGGCAGCCGGCTTCGCGGGGTTCAGGTCCCGTCTCACCTGCTGCCCCAGCTCCGCGGCACGTTCCTGGGGGCTCAGCACAGAGCGGGCGGCCGGGCGCCCCTGGGTCCCGGTCCCAGCAGCCCCTGCCCGCGATACTCACCCTCCTTAGGGGCCGATCTAGAAACTCCACACGGAGGCGGCGCGGCGCGGCCCATCCCTGCCGCCCAATCATTGGCGAGGCCATTGCCCTTCCGGCTCGCTGATTGGACAGCATTAATATCAATTAGCAGGATGTTTGACTTCAGCCCCACCTTCCATCCGGCCCGGGTGTACGCTGGGGGTTGTAGTTCTCAGGGGGCGATGCTCAGGCCTCAGCATAACTCCCGCAGTTCCAGTCTAGGGAAGAACTTTAATGGCAGGCGTGTCAGCTGGACAGAGGGCTTGAATGGGGCTCTCTGGGTGCCTGGCTAGCCCTGGGGCAGCAGAGCAGTGTGGCCATATAATATGTAAGCCCCCCAGACCAGTCTGGGCAACCATCTGAACTAGAAACTCTCAGACGCCAAAGGCTCCTCAGGTTTACCAAGAGAGATGCTGTCCCCCCCAGAGACATCTATCACTGTCCACCTTGGCTACAACAGCCCCAAACTTCCCATACACACTGTCCTTCTTAGCCTTCTCATATAGGTAACCTCCAGAACCCCCCCACCACATACACACTCAGAGCTAACAATACCCTGCACTGGATGCTTGGGTTGAGCGAGGACCTAGATCTGGCCCAAATGTGCAATTCCTGTTTTGTGAGAAGTTTCAGCGTTTGAAATTTGGTATCATTCTGAGACTAAGACTGAGAAACCTGGCCAGAGTTGGGTCTCCCTGGGCTTCCAGGCACTTGGCTCCATGGAAATGAGCCTGGAAGCTCTGAAATCCCTGGGTAACCCCTTTGGGGTTTAGAGAGCATAGCCCCTTTAAATCTTTCTCCTGGGGGGAGAGTGAGAAAAAAGGGGGGAAACTCCAGGGGGTGGCTCTAGAGCTGAGAGGGAGAGAGAGGCGGCAGCCCGCAGGCCTTCACAAAGTGAAGCAGCAGAGAACCTGCCTAAAGCCTGGAAAGGACAGGGCGGCCGATCGGGGACACGCCAGGACAGGAGCCAGGAGGAGCACTGTGCCAGGGAGGAATCGCCCGAGAAGGATAGGCCGGAACTGGACCCAGAGCTGTATAGGGCTGTAAGTACTGGGTCTTGTGACTCTGCATTGGGAAAGTGGGGAGGTGGTCGCTCTATGTGGCTTTGCAGAGAGCGGCAGAAGAGGGCACTGGAGGGATTTGTTGGGGGAAAGTTCACTGGCGCCAAAGACGACCAGGAGCACCCAAGACTCACCACTGGACTGGAACTTTGCTCAAGACTCCTGAACTCTGTGTGCAGACACGTTGCTCAGTATCTGCCCTTTCAGACTGTGCTACCACTGGGCCCGTGGGGTTGAATGCAACCCTGTTTTACTGCTCCCCCTATATTTCCACTTGTTGCTTTTCTCCTCTCATCCCTCTGTAAATAAATATCTCCCTTTCTTATATCCATTGTACTTTTCCTGTGGGGGTGTGTGTTCACTCTCGGGGGAGGGGGGGGAGTTGAAACAGGTGCCCCTGGGGTGGAAGGGATTTTTCCTGCTGCATTTCTGCGTGCACCTTCTCTTGGCCAGAGCTGCCTGCAGAGCAGACTCCATCTTGGCCACGAGGGCGCTAAAGTTACACCTGATTTGAGTCAGAGTTCTTAGGGCTTGCAGACTCCATGCTATGGAGTCAGCAGCCAAGCCACAGTTAGAGAGGGGTTTCCAGGCCTGCCAAGCTCCTTGCTTCACAGCAAGGAGCTTGGAAGCCCTGGCATCACATATCTATCCTGGAGCCGTGGACACGGGAGGCCTGGTGTCCATCAGAACCCTGGCTGCAAGTTCATTGAACTCGACTTGCTTTTGAAAGAAAATTCAGGTTCGATGAACCAGCATTTTCTGACAAAACAAAGTTTCATTGGAAAATTTCTGACCAGCTTCAGGTGGACCACTTCCTCCTTGAGATGGAAATAAGGATTCCCTCAGTAGAAAGGCAATAAGAAACCACAACCATGATGTACATCTTGGATTCTGCCACAGTCCAAAACTACTCATGGAGACTTGCCTAGGCAGAGTTCTCTAAGGCACAGAAATGTTAGTGAGATACTACAGCCAACTTTTGTTATTATTGGGTGTATTTATAAAGCCGCAGCTGCTCGTGGCAAGAGGTTGCATGAGGCTCGCAGTTTTCATTTGAAATAAGTAAATTTCTAGCCTAGCCTTCATGTTTACAGAGAAAAGCTTGAAAATGTAAAGCAAGTGCACCCCCTCACAGCTTGGAAACCAGAAGGCAAATATAAAGAAACCAAAATGTATTATTATTTTTTATTAATCTCATGACTTTTAAACCAATCTCATGTTTTTGGGGGGCCTGGATCATGATTTTTGAATGAAGGGAGTGGATATAGCATTGCCAACTCCTTGGTGCTGGATTCTGGGGTTGAGAGTAGGCAGTGTAGTTGAAGAAATTATTTGACATCCAGTAAAATAAATACCATTTCCCTGTCTGTCCAATCAAAACAGCTCACATTTTGAATATTAAATACTTGTAATGAGTTAGTTGTGAACATCCCATATATCAAGAATTATTCACAGAAATTACATAGCGAATAATTTTGAACAATTAATACATTTTGGAAAATCACAATCTGAACAGAAAAAAGATGCAAAATTTGTAGAACAAATGATTCATTATGAATTATCTGCCCAGCTGTAGCTTCAGTTCAATATGATGGGGATACATGCATTGTCACAATATGTTGCAATGGGCCAATGTAGTGTCTGGACCTAAACATATGATGTAAATCTGACACACAGTTATCTGAGATTATCACAATCAAGGTGGTTAACCTTGGTTTTATCTTGTGTGCTCTGCTATATGCCCCTAAATTCCCTATTCCTCCCTTGGCTTATTGGGTTAACCAAGTAAGTTATCTGAATTGTGTCCTAAATTAGCAGGATGATCACGACTTCTGGTAGGGAATTTCACAGCCTAGGGTTCTCCAGTGAGAACACTGTTCCTCCAGCCTTTTTTGAATTTCATCTGGAGGACACCTACCACATTGTCATCCTTGCTTGCTGCTGCCAGGGGCGTGGGGCACAAAAGGAGAGATGGTCACTGAGATAGTCAAAGCCCAAGAGTCAGGATCAAGCTAACAGAACAGCATCTCAGAGGAAGTGAGCCACAGTGTGATGTGCCTATGGCAACATCCATAAAGCGTTCCTGATCAGCTCTCTGTCTTTAACTTTCTTTCACTCTCAAAATGCTAGGTACAGCTGCATGGTTAAGGGGTGCTATTCAACT